ATCAGACGAATCCATGTAGATTCATGTAACTTGGGTGGTTCTTCTTTGCTTATTCCAGGAGAAGCTAATTTCTTCATAATTTTTTTTGAGGCAAAATCTGCTATAGCTGGTCGATGAGAAGTGACAGTATTATGATGAGAAGTATTGTTATGTGGACTGCTAGAAACTTTATATGGGGAGTTTTTTTCATCTGTATGCAATAATTTTGGACCTATAACAGGAGTACCAGGCTCTTCAGGTGATACTTCAGATTGCTTTCCTATAGTATCAGATACCATATGAAGCAAATCGTCATCTGAGACTTCTTTCCAAACTTGATCTCCATCAGCTAGTATTTCAATGGCTTGTACAGGACGTGCAGCAATGGGTATACTATTGTGTTTAAGAGGAGGTTTCTTGTTAAGCAATAAAGCCTTGAATGCTGTCTTGCCAACGTACGGAGGCCCACAAATAATTATCTTTATGTTAATTAAAGATACATATCCTTCTGCCATTGCTCCTTGCAATATTGTTTTTGCTGACTTCATTCTTTTCACTACCATCTTTTTAACCTTCAATTTGTCAAAATAAATGTCAACATATTCTTTAGTTCTTGGGCAATCATTCAAAATACCATCCAAATACCTATAAAACCCTCCATCACTTTGATATGCTTTAGATCGATATATAAGTGCAACAGAATCAAATCGCGAACAATATGCTAATCTCAACTTCCAACACAGGCTACTATACTCCTCATCACTCATCGACAACACCATATTGCCTATTGCTAGTAATGTACTAAAATCTGGATACTTTTCATGTATATACATGCTATCACTGAGTTCGTTATCACAATAATTTCTGATGCTTAGCAGCTTCTCTTCTTCTACACCTACTCCTACTAATGCCTCATATAAAATTAGCAGAGTGTCCTTGTATCCTACTTCGACTACAAGTCTGTCATAAAGTTCAGAGAAAGTCTTGGGACTTATTTTGGAGCTTAAATAGAAGCTACAATGATTACCATTGAGCCTCCCATCATAGTAATAGCACAACCTATCATCTTGCTCAATTCCCAACCCTTCAAGAGCTAACTTGATTATTTTCATCTGTTCACGACTGATAACAATGTCTTCTAGCCTCATAAGTTCCATCAGAGAAGTCTGGGAAGAAATAGAACTGCAGCAAGCCATGGCCACCCCGCCTGGTTCACGGGGCGAGGCCAACATTACCTGTGTTTTAACAATTTCATTTTCATTTATTATAGCAGGTTTAAATTATAACACATGAACAGGTGAGGAACAAAGAAAGCAAGAGTTAGAGGAAGGGAGAGAGAGTGAAATAATATAAATAATAATTATTATTTTGATTATGAAAACAAACAGGCAAGACGTAAACGTAAGTCACAGCAAAACAAGAAAAAACAAAAAGAAAGAAAAACAGCAAAACGGCAAAACCAACAGACTAGGCACAAAACGAGACAAGAAAGATAAACAATGAAATATTTACATTATGAAGCTGACAGAGTCTTTCTTTGTTCGTGGTATCGTACTCCTCTCAAGTGTACTGAATTTACGCGTCTTTCCACCACTACCTCCACCACTTCCTGAAACTTTATAAGTCTGTTCAGGGGAAGGGGAAACGGCTCTTTTAAGTAGCGGAGAAGTATGAGGAGAAGAGTTCTTTTTGGTCGCTGCGGTAGATAGGAAAAGCTCGCTAGAGCTCACGGATTTCTTTGTATGTGTGAGGAGACTCGACTCGGCAAACATCGAGTGACGTTCTTTATGAGTGGTTGGAGGAGAATTGGGAGGCGTGGTCGAGGAGAGATTTTGTACGGAGCCGGGTGGGCTGCTATTTGGCGTAAGGACGCTTGATAGTGCAACGGGTGATGTTGAACGGGCAAGAGGTGATACCGGGGTCTTTCCGTGTTTTGATGAGGTACTGCCGCTCCCAGATTTTCTCCAGTGCTGACGGACTCGGTCTTTCATTGACTCCGCCCTCCTCGGGGACGAGGAAAGTTTCGGAGATCCCGAGCCAAAAGACGATGTGAAAGACTGCGAGGTCGTGTCAACGCTTCGCATTTTCCCGCGACGGAAAAAAGAAGGACGCTTCTTGACACGAGACGAATGTTTCCGTAAAATTTTCCCAATTCTTCTTCCGAGCCATGGTATCCTCTTTCTAGAGTCTTGCTTTATACTCGTCTGATCTAATGGTATCGTGTGTATGGTGAGGATGGAGTTTTCTCTTTCACGCTTGTGTTTGGGCTCTTTGGAATCTTTTGCCTTCGCAGACGCGTCTTTCTTCGAGTTCTTGAACATTAAACTGACAACTTGGACATGTTGTAGTCCAGTAACAGCCTAAAAAAGAGAGAGAGAAAAGGGGCAGAGTAGAAAGAATTGTTTTATTAAATACTTATGATGGTTTAAATACATACTTCTCCATTGATGTGTGTCACTAACATGTTTGGTCTTAGCCCAGCTTTGTAGGCGGGGCCATCTTTATCGACAGACTAACAAAAAAACAAAAAATAAATATCATAATTTTTAAAATAAAATAATCTTACCTGGACTATATGATGTATTCTATAGTTGTTGGAGTCCCCTATATAAACTCTTATTGGTTTGAGTGTCATTCCATATCCTTTACGATCATTAGCAATGACTATTGGTGTGACTGCCATTGAGTTACGTGGACTGGAGGGAGACCCATCGCCTAAGAAAAAATAAAGGAGTATCGTAAAAAGTGGCTACAAAAATGTCTCAGTTTGTATGACATTCAATGTATCAACTTTGAGCTGATTTTTAAAACTGGCCAATTTTTGAAAAAAGCAAAGGCTATAATAGCCCATGGATTTATCTAAAAAATGGTTCCAAAATCACCCCAAATTTTTATTACATTTTTTGATGTATATTGATGTCCTTATGCTATGTAGAAAGTTTGAGCTGATTCCGACAAATATTTTTTGAGTTATGAGCATTTTTAAAAACGGGCCAATTCTTGAAATATACCCAAGGCTATAGCCCATGGTTTTTTCCAAAAAATGGCTCCAAAATCACTCCAAATTTTTATTACATTTTCTGATACATAGTGATGTCTTTATGCTGTGTAGCAAGTTTGAGCTGATTCCGACAAATATTTTTCTAGTTACAGCCATTTTAAGAAAAACGCCAAAACTCTGAAAAATACCCAAGGCTATAGCCCATGGTTTTTTCCAAAAAATTGCTCCGAAATCACCCCAAATTTTTATTACATTTTCTGATACATATTGATGTCCTTATGCTGTGTAGCAAGTTTGAGCTGATTCTGACAAATATTTTTTGAGTTACGGCCATTTTAAGAAAATGTCAAAATTCTGAAAAATACCCAAGGCTATAGCCCATGGTTTTTTCCAAAAAATGGCTCCAAAATCACCCCAAATTTTTATTACATTTTCTGATACATATTGATGTCCTTATGCTATGTAGCAAGTTTGAGCTGATTCCGACAAATATTTTTCGAGTTACAGCCATTTTAGGAAAACGTCAAAATTCTGAAAAATACCTAAGGTATTTTCATGGAGCCCATGGTTTTTTCCAAAAAATGGCTCCAAAATCACCCCAAATTTTTATTACATTTTCTGATACATAGTGATGTCTTTATGCTGTGTAGCAAGTTTGAGCTGATTCCGACAAATATTTTTCTAGTTACAGCCATTTTAAGAAAAACGCCAAAACTCTGAAAAATACCCAAGGCTATAGCCCATGGTTTTTTCCAAAAAATGGCTCCGAAATCACCCCAAATTTTTATTACATTTTCTGATACATATTGATGTCCTTATGCTGTGTAGCAAGTTTGAGCTGATTCTGACAAATATTTTTTGAGTTACGGCCATTTTAAGAAAATGTCAAAATTCTGAAAAATACCCAAGGCTATAGCCCATGGTTTTTTCCAAAAAATGGCTCCAAAATCACCCCAAATTTTTATTACATTTTTTGATGCATATCAATGTCCTTATGCTACGTAGAAAGTTTGAGCTGTTTCCGACAATAATTTTTCAAGTTATGATCATTAAAAAAAAACGAGCCAATTTTTTGAAAAATACCCAAGGCTATAGCCCATGGTTTTTTCAAAAGAGGCTCTGAAATCACCTCAAATTTTTTATCACATTTTTTCCTGATTATCTTACCAGGGGTCAATGAAGTTGATGTTATTGCAATATTAGACAGCTGATGATGTCTCGATTTACTCTTCATCCTCTCCCCACTGCTTGGCCTGTACTTACTACTCCTCCCAGTACTACCACTAACGATGGGTCTCTCATCATTGGACGAGGGTGAGTGGGGATGTTCCCGTTCGTCTAGACTGTAGCTGTGGGTGATGGCGAGTGGTGTTCTCGTCCCTCGCAAGGTCAAGTCAGCAAGTATTGTGTTAGTTGAGGGTTCCTCGTCAAAATCATCAATATTAGTGATAGGACCTTCTTCTTCTTCGTCTTCTTCGACACCTCCAGACTCACTGAGAGAGAGAGAGAGAGAGAGAGAGAGAGAGAGAGAGGGAGAGGAAGAGAGAGAGAGAGAGAGAGAGAAGGAATAAATACATAATTAATTACATTATAGTAAAAGGTAATACAATAGTAAATGTACACATTTTTAACTGAATATTTTGGACAATTATTATCATTATTATTATTATTAATAAAGAACACATTTAGATGCAGAATAAAAACATATTAAGCAAAAAATATATTATATAATAATAATAATAATAATAATAATAATAATAATAATAATAAATTGTCATTCATACCTTGTTTCATTGAGAATGTTTACAACAGGTTTCTCCAGTATGCTGGTGGCTGGCTCCTGTTCCACAATACCGCTGTCCCTGTTAGCCTCCTTAGAGCCATCAAGGCCGAGTGTTGAATCTGTCAGTGATATCCTAACAAAGAGAGAGAGAAAAGAGAAGATTTAAACCCAGGAAGCTGTGTTAGAAAGTAAACATAGCACAAGTCAGTAATCCGGGAATGGGACAAAATTCTGTGCCATTATTAACTGTACAAAGCTGTTTAATGTATTTTAAATGAGTGTTACAGGCAGAGTTTAAACAACTATAAATATAGAAGAATGTAGAACATATGAATTAAGGCATTCAAGTACACATGTAAGTCATACAAATTTTTCAATATTTATATCAATTGACATTATACATCGTACATGTAAATGGAGTGACAATAAACTTATTGCCAAGCTTCATTCCTTGGTGGCTGGCCCTTACCTAAAGCTCTCATTGAGGTACATTCTTGGAGCAGTAGAGGAGAAGTTATCAAAGGGTTGATCAGTATCACCGTCCGGTTCCTCGTCACTTGCAAATTCATTTTGAGGATATCTGTTTTCACGAGCTGTAGAGAGAGAGAGAGAGAGAGAAATGAAACAGTAACTAGTAATCCCTATACATCGATGTACATGTGCTATTCTACATACTAAAACAGATATCAACAAGGCTGTACATGTACAAATACATGCATGATCTTTCAGTTATTGCCAAGAAATGTTAAAAATGCTCAATCACTAATTCAAAGAACAAGGAAGGACAGTCAACCAGAACAACAACACAGCATCAAGAAAGAGCTTGACTTTAATCATGCAACACAAATAAATGTACATCTACAACATGTACATGAGGTTAAACTTAGTATTTTTTGACTTATATATTGTAAAATGCATGTACTAACATGTATAAAAACATTTGACTTACTGTCAAAGTAACTGGTGTCATCATCTCCTCTTAGCTGTGGTATAAACTCCGCCTTTGTCCTCAGCAATAGGTTCCAGTCTATCTCGGAGAAGAAAGGGTGCGACTTTACCCCAGACACGCCCTCTCTCGCCGTCGACCCCAGCCTATACATCGGATCAAAGCACATTAGCTGACGGACGAGGTCTTGAGCGTCATCAGGAATCTCATCCTCTTCGGGGAAAGAAATGTGAAGATTTTCTGGAGGAGAGAGAAAGAAGATAAAAATGTATGTACACGTACAAGTCCTCCTTATAATGTATATGAGGTACATGTATAGGCAGAAAGTAAGAGTTGTTGGTCATTATTTTATTGCAGTACTTTAAAATGAATTGACTGTTTAAAATAGGAGACAGCATGTATAGTGTACTACAGAATACTAATGAACAATAGATTTAATGAAAAGGTCTCTAGAACATGTCCATTTAAAAACAGCTTAGCAAAATCTCTTAATATTTATAAGCAACTCTTGACATTGTATTAAATCAATGATTCATTTATTATGACATGTATATCATATACATATATTACCATTAGTGATCTCTTCAAATAGGTCCTGTATAGTTGAGCTCACGAATGGAGTCACGCCCATCATCATCTCATACAGTATCACTCCCATTGACCACCAGTCAACAGGAAAACCTAAACATAAATGACACGAATCATAATTTTGAACAATGACATACATGTACACGTACATGCATGTATATGTACATGTACATGTATATGCAAACCAGTGCATTGAGTCTAGACATTCAAATATTACGTGTGTAAATTTAATTAACTATTTGCATGTACATGTACATGTTATGTTAAATTACCATAAGGCATTCCCAGGATAACTTCAGGTGCGATGTAGTCCGGTGTTCCGTAGACTTCTTGATCGACAAACTGATAGTCTTTGGCCCAAGCATCTTCTATGACGTGAGCAGCATCTGGAGTAAGGGGAAGGAAAAGGGGCGTGGTTATAGGTGGGCGTAGTTATATTCGGCTTACAGTTTGTGAGTCCGATCTTAGAGAGACCAAAGTCGGTTAGTTTGATGTGTCCTTCTGAAGTGATTAGCAAACTGGGAGGGAGAGAGGGAGGGAGGGAGAAAGAGAGAGAGAGAGAGAGAGGGGAGTAATATGACGGCTAGCGTAAACAGCAACAGATTAAATCAACAATCAAAGGTGTGAGTTACATCACACAATCCAGTCACAACAAACATATGATGCAAGATTACACAACACATCATACACTATAACTACATGTACATTCCTATACATGTACATGTACACTGTTGTAGTGTGTAGTTATATGCACACGATAAGAAATGCTAATAATACATATACATGTATGTATGTACATGTATATGTACAATGTAAATTAATTAGTATAAACTACAGAAGTAAATTAATACATTAACTATCCCAGAGAGAAAAGGGTATCAATTAAAAATAAAATACATGTACTTTGATATGTGCCTGTACATGTTGATATTATAGACTGTATGCATGTACATGTACCGGTACATGTACATGTACGTTCAAATTTTCGAGTGTTTAATATTTTGTGTTTTCAATGACATGTGCTCAAAAGTTAATATTCGTGTGAGCTAATTTTCATGTTCTGGCCATAGTCTACATACAATAGAATGGCATTAGAGGTGGTTTAAATTTCGTCGATTTAAGATGAGCACAAAATAACGAAATTTAATACGCCTCGAAAATTAAGACGCGTACGGTATGTGATGTACTTGACATATTGTACATGTATACATGTACATTGTACTTACTTGTCTGGTTTCAAGTCCCTGTGGATGATCCCGTGACTGTGTATATATTCCAGGGCCAGTACTGTCTCAGAGAAATACATAGTGGCTAGTTCAAGTGTCAGATACCCAACGCCTTTTAAGAGTGCAGCCACGTCTCCTCCCTCAACGTACTCCATTACCATGTACAGGTGTTGCTGCGGAAGGGAAGAAATAATTTCGTAAAAATTCGCATAATTAGAAATTTAGTTATTTCTCATTTAATTAGAAATCTCTTTAATTAGAAAGGTATAGGATATAGGACTCACTCTTGTCTGGAAGGTGCACCAGAGACCAACAACAAACGGGTTTTCAGAGAACGTTAGAATGTCTCTCTCGTTGAAAACACTCTGGACCTGTGAGGTGGGCATTAATAAGAATAAAACATGCAAAATTTAAATACACATTATTCTATAAGTATGAAAACATGTACTGTACATAGTACTCTCTCTCCCTCTCTCTCTCTCCCCTCTCTCTCTCCCCTCCCTCTCTCTCCCCTCCCTCTCTCTCTCCTCCCTCCCTCTCTCTCTCTTTCTCCCTCTCTCTCTCTTTCCCCCTCTCTCTCCCTCACTTGTTTCTTCATTATCATCCTCTTCTTGTTAACTTTCTTCATGGCGAATCTCATTCTCGTTTGCTTGTGTCTCACAAGGTATACAGCACTATAAATACACACACAAATACGTCACGTGACTATCACATGATCAGGCTTACCCATAAGCTCCGTTACTAATAATTTTAATTACATCAAAATCTTCTTTTCTTGGTTGGATCTGTGTAAAACAGGCATTAAATAGAGTGGGAATAATCGGGCGTTAATTGGGAGGGATTAATTTTTAATAGTGACGCTACCTGGTCAAGTGAGAGATGTAGAGATGAAGGTCTTTCTTTGGACAATTTTGGAGCAGAATCTGAGAGATATAGAAAAAGAAAAGTCAGTTACATATACAGTTACATGTACATGTACATGTACGCGTGTAAATTATTTTAGCCTATATATATAATTACTGATAATTCAAAGGTTTTGATTAAGTTAAAGCTATTCATGGAAAGTATTAATAGTCATCTTTAATTCACACAATATGACAGCTAATAAGCTAAAGAATGCAAAATATAAGTACATGTACATGTACATTGTACGCACATACTGACATATACTTATACATGCATGTAATGTAATGTAGAGTGCAATACATGTACATTCAAACCTATACTAGTTATACAACTACAATTTATACATGCATACATGTACATGCACATTGTAAATGTACCTCCATCGTTATTTTCGAGTGTTTGGTTCAGCCTGTTTAGTATATAAGGCATATGAGACGAGGTCAGTTTCTGTAACCACTCAGAGCTCTCTCCTCCCTCCCCTTTAGCTCCTCCTTCTCCTCCTGCCAGCTGAAGGACGCTAGCGCTAAAAGCGTTTGGATCAAACTCTATTATTTCGACCAGTCTTGCCACGCGGGATATGACTGTGAGAAGTTTCCTAACTAGCTGATTGAGCTCAGGGGATTCAGCACCATTTCTCTCGCGAACCTACAGAGAGAGAGAGAGAGAGAGAGAGAGAGGCAATTAAATACGTGTATATAATTACAGCATTAAAAATTTAAGTATACAGAGTCTCAAGTTTCCACACAACCTAAGTACATGTACATGTATATGTCTCAGAAAAAATTATAAAAATAGAGAATTCTTTCCTTTTAAATTTTAGTGAAATTTCGCCCAAGACCGTGTCTATAGTACAGGGACTTTGGCCTGATTTTGAAGCAACTTTTAAAATTTATCAAAAATCCAATTTTGATTGAAACCAGTTCAAAATATTTACACAACATAAACATACATACATTACATAAAAACATGTACATTTACATACATTCCCTTCCCTCTCCTTACATTAGTGACTGCTTGAAGAACATTCTCCGAGAACTGAATAAACACTTCTTTACTGAGGAGGTCATTCTGCGACTTGAAGAGCAGCTCCCTTGCAAACTCTAGTATCTGATGACGAGCAAAATTCACGTTTGAGTCCGAAAACTGTCTATTAGTCTCAGAGAACTCGTTCATAAAAGTAACCAGCTGATTCTCCATCTCTAGTTTCGCCCGGGGGTATTTCTCCCGGAAAATGGCATGAGTATCGTCAAGATCCAAGAGGCTCTCTCGTGGAGACCTCTCCGGGCTACAAAAATATAATTAGAGGGTGTGGTTATGGGTGTGGCTTACCTGAGACTTCGTGCTCGGAGCCTGTGGGTCGCGATGTGAAGGTCGTCGTCCACATGAATGCTGCTACTGCCACTGGAATCACTTCTGAAGTGCTTACGTAGTTTCGCGAAATCTTCAGGAGTTGGTGTAGTAGGTAACTAATAATAAAGGAGGAATATGTTATATAGATGTACCTGTATATGTACATGTACAGGTACATGCATAATATATGCACATTTAGAGTAACAGATAACAGACCACGATATAACAGGCCACAAAAGTCTATCAAGTTTCTGAGAAGTACTAACAAAGCAATGCTATCATAATAAACACATGTACATGTACAACTAGCCTTGTACATGTACATGTATACAACATGTACATACTATAGATGTAAATGTGTATTCTCTCTCTCCTCTCTTTCTCCCTATTACTACATGTACATGTACACAACATATACACAGTGTACATGTACATGCATCGTACATACATGTACATGTAAGTATGTCTTATACATGTAAGTACATGCATATTTACGTCTCATACATGTAAATGTGTATTCTCTCCCTCTCCCTCTCTCTCCCTCCTTGTATATGTACATGTACATGCATCATACATACATGTACATGTACATGTGTATTTGCTTTCTCTCTCCCTCTCTCTCTCCCTCCCTCTCTATCTCTATTGCTACAAGTATATGTACATGTACATGCATATTCCAATAATGGCTGGTTGTAGGTACTCACTTGGTTGTTGGTGTGATCTTGTGGGGCGTGTATGTGTTCCTGAGAAGGATAAGACTGCACAGAAAAAATGTAAAAAATATAACAAAATAGAATAAAAAAGAAGCCCAATTGAACTCACAGAGAGAGAGGCAGGTGAGTCAGTGGCTGAAGTATAGGTAGTGTAACCAGAAGACTGAGAGACTAAAGACCAACGCCTCATGTCATTCCTCATCTCAGACCTAACAATAATAATAATAATAATAATAATAATAATAATAATAATAAGCATGAAGTTTTTTGTTCAGATATTTCATTTTAAAAATGGTCGTAACTCAGCTACATGTATAATATGAGATATAAGCACTTTATCATAATAATATGCATCTACATGTACATGTACATGTACATGCATATGCATATGCATTATAGTTTATAAGGTAGATATAAATTCAAAAAATAATATTATTACAAATTAAAGCAGTTTTCTCTAATACCTGCAGCTACACAGATAGTCTAAATGTACATATAAAAGCTACATGTATCTCTATATATTAATTAAACAGTCAATTGGCTACTGCTTCTATAAGCTAATTAGAAGCTAGTACATAATATATGCACTTTATACTGTGCTACTACATGTACACACAAGTATACTAACTGTGCATTACACAACAGTATGCCTATAGAACACTGTCAACATGTTTACCCTCTCTCTCTCTCCCTCTTGTTATTTGAATTATTAATATACTTTAATCAATGATAAACAGACACTAGAGTCAATAACAGATAGCCTTGTCAAACTCGTGTTGTACACATGTTTGCTCACAAAGTGCAGTGAATGCAAACACGTACAAGCAATCAGCTAATTATCATACTAAATTATACTGAGTTATACTGAATTATACTGAGTTATACTGAATTATACTGAGCTATACTGAATTATACTGAGCTATACTGAATTATACTGAGCTAATTGTAATAATAAATAATAATAATAATGTTGATTAAGACTATCCTTGTCTGTCAATCTTCTTCTGTATATTCGTAAAAATGTCAACCTCTGTCCCTCCCTCCCTCCCTCCCTCCCTCTCTCCCTCTCTCTCTCTCTCTCTCTCTCTCCCCCTCTCTCTCTCCCTCTCTCTCTCTCTCCCTCCCTCTCCCTCCCTCCCTCTCCCTCTCTCTCTCCCTCCCTTCCTCTCTCTCTCTCTACGCTATTCCCTACTAATTACTATTACGACAAATAGTAGTAATCCTTATGATAATTATTAGAGTACATGCATGTACAATACGAGTACACATACATGTATAGGTACATGTCTACATGTACATGTACTATATTCCGATAGTAATTACTGGCTAGACTGAACAAGAGGAATGTTGGATTGGGTAAACAGGTACTATACATCTCATCATACACTCAGCAAAACTCACGATTAATCAGAGAAAGAGTGCACCATTAGCTATCAATTAATATTCACAGGTAGGAAGACACAATATCAATTCATAATAATAGTTTGTAACAGTGAAATCATTACCCTATTTGTATCACTGTACATGTATACATACTGTATAGCAAGTATTAGTAATAACTGATATGTACATGTACATGTATGTTGTATGTACCTTCTTCCATGACTAAATCTCTCAAAATTTGTAATAGAAGGAGACCATGTTCTAGGGCTGCCACCTGTGCAAGAATAGTAATAGTTACAAATTACATGTATATGTACATGTACATGCTATAATAGTCACTTCCTCTCCCCCTCCTTCTCTCTCCCTCCCTCCCCCCTCTCTCTCTCCCCTCTCTCATGTCCTTACAAGGTGATGGGGAGGATATACGAGGAGAACGAGGCGACTTGGGCTGATTGAGACTCTGAGTTCTGCTAGGAGGCAACCTGAGGAGGGAGAGAGAGGGAGAGAGAGAGAGAGAGAGAGAGAGAGAGAGAGAGAGAGAGAGGGAGGGAGGGAGGGAGAGAGAAGAGGGGAGAAACAGAGAGAGAGGAAAAGGAAGAGAGATATGCTAATCAATTTAACTATATAATGACAATATTGACACTAACAAAAAGGAAATAAAAATCAACACACACACACAACACAAAATCAACAACAAAAAATCAGCTAAACACAGTATAGCCAAATAAACTCAAAAATTAGTCACAATTTTTAAAATAACTGAAATTCATTAAATACATGTACATTGTACATATGTAACACATTGAAATAAGCACACTACATGTACATGTATATACATGTACATGTACAGTACCTTAAATGGGCCGATAGATGATCTGCCAGTTCTGATTCATGATCATGATCTTCAAAACTTTCCTCCGGACTAAACAATCCAGTAGCAGTCTATGGAGGAGTAAGAGTAGACAATAATTATAAATAAATATTTAAAAGTTACTTATTAATTTTTTTATAACATAAACGTACACATGTACATACATTGCAGTAATTATTTTCCAATATTATTTATTTATTGGAGTCATTAATCAACCCACTTTCATTAACAGATTACTCGTTAATTTGCGATCATTGAAAGAATTCTACAATTACAAGCCCACACAACTCCCACAGTCCACTAGGATCTCCCCATACAATAGTACATGCATATACATAATACATGTATTAGGGATATTGTGGAGTAGCTATAGCCTCTTTACTAAGGAGAACATTGGCCTGTCCTTAATACATGTACAGTATAAGTTCTTTATTAAGGACACCATTGGGCCTACACTACCTGTCCTTAATACAGAGGTGTCCTCATTTTAGAGGTAGTTCTTTAATAGGTTTGTACCAATTGGGACATTATAAAACATCCTCATTATAAAGGTACTTTGCACTGTATGTATTTGTAATGAACATGTACATGTATATAATACATACTGTAATAGGCAAATATATCAATAGTACAATGGCTGCATGATTATTAGGTGATGGGTCATACTAATGTCCAAAAGGAATATACTACATACATGTACATGTACAATGTACATAATCAGGTAATGTACATGTATATAAAGTGTAGAAGAACTCTCAAATAGAAGAAGCCTGCTGTGCTCAAATTAAAGATAGCAAATAAAGTCTTTCCATTTGGGAGCATACAGTGGAAGCATTATCAGCTCATTAAACAGCAAAGAGTCTACATATTCTACAATAGGAAATCTTCAATGAACCAGCTAATAAAGCAAACACAGTATTATTATTATTATTATTATTATCATCATGAAGCATAAAGGAAGTCATTAGGGAGGCTGTTACTCTATAAAGTGATACACATCAGGACAGCATTACTTGTACAGGAGGGACAGCATGGCTCGACTAGCTTCCTGGCTATAGACTATGACACTGTACTTCAAAAAGCAATCAATCACTCTGGTATTGATTGTAACAGGCAAGCTTGTATGTACAAGGAAATGGAATGCAGCAATAGAGCAATACATAGTAATCTATACATAACCAATAGTGCTATAGGATTATATATACTTACATGGGTGCATGAGAGTGCTATTGTATCAACTGTTAGAAAGGTTTGATTCCAATTTGGATATGCTATATTAATACTAGTGGATGTACTGAAGGATTGAGCTGAGTCAATCTGCAATGGAACAATGCCTCAGCTATTCTACCTTTGATCATAACATACATGTACATGTAAATTTAAATGTACATGTACATGTAAAAGAATAACTGTACATGTACAGGATAAAAATAGCTATGCATATAGTACTGTCAATATAGACTTAGGAAACACACTATAGTATGAGCTATAGAGCATCACTATATCAGTTGGTTATACCAAGAGTACATAATTTACAGAGAGTGTCTAACCGCACTATAGTAGCTGAAATATGACAGCGTAGAACTAAGTCACGTGAGACCAGAAGCGTGGGTGTACTTACTAAAAAACACGTGTAGAAGTTTGCATAAAAACAGTGGAGAAAACTTGAAGAAGCTTTAGACATCATACTAGTATACTTTATAATGCTGCTGAAGTCTGATATGCAGTACTGCTATAGCAGAGGCGCCAAAACAGCCAGTAAACCTTGTTGAGCAAACTTGGCAGCCATTTTTTCCTACACAGCCACACCCAGTATGCGGGAATGCCCAAAGATGCACAAGAAAAGGCTACGCGGTGATATTTCAGCTATTATAGTATGGTTAGACACTCTCTGTAGATTATGTACTCTTGGTTATACTATATTCTCAGTATCCTGTACTTAAATATTTTGCAAACATTATCAGCAGCAAAACAATTTAGCTGTGGCATATAACAGTTGAATAATAAACATGCTCAAATTAATAATCAATATAATATAATATAATTAATGTACATATGTACATGTATGTTACTTACTTCGGGTGACAATGAAGGATCGCTCTTTCCAAGTTGTCTCTCGCGATACCGCGACCAGTTAGGTTTCTGAGACGAATCGACAGGTTTGCTTCGCCTTAGTCCGGTTCCGGATCGATTATTAGGAGACCCCTCCCCATCCTGGGGCGGGGTGTGCATCGGAGAGGAGCGGGACTGGTGGGTTGGGTGGAGCATTGATGACGTCATTACAGGCTGGGACTTATGTCTGAATTTAAAGTTTGGAGGCAGCGTCTTATTCAAACCGTCATCATACTAGAGAATGAGGGAGAGAGAGAGAGAGAGGGAATTAATAACCATATGCAATATTAATACATCATAAACACATAAACTGGTTTATTTGTAAACCGGTTTCAAACCGGTTTAAGGACATAGAGTAAACAGGGCTAAAGGTTGTAATCTCACATGTACACATACATGTACATATAATCCAATTTACACATGTACATGTACATGTACATGCATGTATATTAGTAAGTGCACATGGTACATGATATCATACAGTGGTTGGTTGATACTAGTCAGGAACAAGCTGATGGTGTTATTATAAGAGATAAGGTTAGAGGAGGAGGAGGAGACACAGATTAGGAGCTACAATCAGTAAACAACTCACTATTGGCACAAGCTACACAATCACACTTTGTACTATATAGCACGTGACATATATGTATAGTGATTCATTTCTTAAACTACATGTATATATATTGAATGTACATGTACATAGCTACCAATTCCTTCCCTCTTCTTTCTTAAAGTAACTTAACATTGTTAGCTAGATCTAAAAGGAGTTTAGGAGACTATTGGTCTCCCAAAATTTACTCTAGATCCAACAGCCTGTACCTTAATTGCTAATGTTGCTTTAATTGTGTGTGTGTGTGTGTGTATGTGGATCAAGAGATGGAGCGATCGAGTGACTAGTAGAGGAGTGTTTGTATCAGGGTGTGTAGCACTTCAAAGAAAGAAAGGAATAACATTATAATTAATTAAAAAATGACCTGTACGGTCTAGCATCCACACAGGAAGCAACATTAAAGACATTAGGTATGATATAGGACCAGCTGTTGGTAAGCGTATAACAACCGCCAACTCCTACAACTCTCCAACGCAGCATCTCTTTGTTTCTATAACTCTCCCACTTCCATAAACACAAATGATGTCTTTCATCTTATCCTCTCCCTCTATTCACATATCACCTAAGCTTGTTTCTTCTTTAAGTTGAGATTTTCTCTCTCTCTCTCTCTCTTTCCCTCCCTCCCCCCTCTCTCTGTCTCTCCCCTCTCTCCCTCTCTCCCTCTCTCTCTCTCTCTCTCTCTCTCCCTCCCTCTCTCTCCCTCTCTCTCTCTTCTCTCTCTCTCTCTCACCATTATTCAAGGCCCCAATTAACACTACACAGTTGCACTCTCAGCAGTACCTCACAGAGATTCTAATAAGATTCATTCTCAAGCAATAATATTCAAAAGGTGAGTGTGGGGTTGTAATAACTAAAAATACCCACACACCAACCTAGACTGATATTCATGGGCAGTCCCATGGGTAACTATTGACATTAAATGCATGCGAACGGAAAAAATAAAATTTAATGATGACACATTGATAATTAAAGTGAATAAAGAGATGTAGAATTCCCCCATACATCCTTTTAGCTGCCAAAATGTACATGTACATGTAAGTGTACTTAATACATGTATGTACATGTACATGTACATGAGTATGAAAAGGTCAAGAAAAAAACAGCAAAAGTAACACATTAAAAAAAAGAAAAAAAGGACACTCATAAAAAGACATACTTCATATACATGTACATGCACGTGTACAACACTCATTTATTAAAAATGGACACAATTACATGTTCATGTAACACGTAACATACATGTACATGTACATGTATAGTAAGTGTGTGGAGTATTAAAAGCACAAGGCAGTACAGTACATAACTGGCCAATTGGCACAACAGCCAAAGGCTACACTGATAATATATCAATAGAACAAAAACAACGAAATATAATAGCAGAAGATCAGAGAGAGTGAAAGCTCTATGGTATGGTACTTGTACATATCTTATATCTAGGAATAACTCTATGGTATGCATATCTCACGTATCTACAAAGGACAGATACATGTAGGTATGACTATACATGCATAAATCAAATGCCTTTAATCCATAATATTACATCATACCGTCTATCTGGAAATTTTTACTGGGATTTTAATTTTACTGGATTAGAATTTCGCATAAAATTAGATAACCACTAAAATTACATGCCACATTCAGTAATACATGACACAGTCTTGTTTAGGAAAAATTAAATCACAGCACAATTTTAAGACACAGAAATTTTCTACCACACTAATTTCCTGATCTACAGTATTACACAATCACTAAATTGTAGTTTCATTGAGGATGACTGTCAATATAAACTACTCTAAATCTATTCCTGTGCTACATGTACATGTACATACACATGTTGATCATGAAGGGTCTAAGTTAATATGATAATAATGATCATTACAGTGATATAATGCAAGAGGACGCATTCATAAGTGAATACAAATAATGAGATGAGAGGGCAAGAGGTTAATGGTTCAAGTGATGTAGTACCTATAAGTGATAAACTTTAACATTTTTATAAAGCACTGACCTGTGTGGGGTCCCAGGTACATGTACATGTACGTGCAAGCTTTTAAACTATCTTTCCCCCCTTTCTCTCCTTCTCTCTCTCTCTCTCCTCTAAATCCACATTCATTTCCCTAACAATAGGAGTGTTTAGCAGACAGAAAGTAAAAATCACAACTGTAAAATAAACCAACATTGATAAACTGTATGAGCTACAGAATAAACACAATGATTCCATGAGATGTGGAGAGAGAGAGAGAGAGAGAGAGAGAGAGAGAGAGGGAGGGAGAGAGAGGGGGAGAGAGAGAGAGAGAGAGAGAGAGAGAGAGAGAGGTGAGCTAGTGTATGCTACAATATTAGATTAACATCAAAAGGTTTGCACTACACGCATACACCCTCCAACATAAATAGTGGACAGAGAGGAAGAGAAAACACTCAACAAAAACATTATAACTAACTACATGTACACGTATACATATACATATACATATACATGTATACATGTGTACATGTACATGTACATGTACATGTATACATGTGTACATGTACATGTACATGTACATGTATACGTGTACATGTACAGACAAAGAGTTAGTTGATGATGGCATAAATAAACAAAATATAGCAAAACAAAAACTAAGAGAGAGAGGGAGGGAGGGAGGGTGCTGGTACGTGATCTGATACAGACAGAGAGAAAACAAGCCCCATTGATCCGTATCCCGTAACACTATAAACAATATTCATATCATGAAACTAAAACAATATTCATGTTGTAAACGATAGGCGTATTATCATGACAAACAAGCGCTGATGTCATAAACTAATAACAACAATACATGCCTAAATTGTATAGGCATGCAGTGATTGGGCTAATGGAGTGGATACTGTGAAGACAAACAGAATGAGTCAGTCAAAACAGTAACAGTGAGAGTCTATACAGCAGATATAAAAAATACACAACTTATGTATACAATTACGTGTACATGTACATGTATATACGCATGCACTAACATGTTGAAACAATTAGATGAGGATGGTGAGAGAATTTTTAAAAGCATGTCTAGGAGAAGAGGAATAGAGGATGTAGATGTGGGTTTTGAGAGGGAAGGAAGAAACAGTGGGAGAGAGAGAAGGATAGAGGGGGGGGAGAGAGAGAGAGAGAGGGGGGGGGAGAGAGGGAGAGAAAGAGAGAGAGAGAGAGGGGGGAGAAGGAGAGAGAGAGAGAGAAAGAGAGAGAGAGAAAGAGAGAGAGAGAGGGGGGGGAGAGAGAGAAGGAGATAGAAGGGGGTGCCTGTGTTTGGTACACATATCTATTAAGGTGAGTTGTGCATAAAGGTGATAAAATACCCACACAGAGGATCTATTCAAATGTAACAGACTGTGTACATAAGCTAATAACAACTGCTAAATGAAACACATAAATAAACAGAGCAAATGTGTATGTACATGTATGTACATGTACATATACAAAATACACAATAGTGTCAGTGATACAAGTAAGTGAAGGGTACACCCAAAAATGTAAACAAGAGAGAGAGAGGGGAAGAGAGAGGGGAGGGAGAGAGAGAGGGAGGAAGAGAGAGAGGGGGGACAGGGTATTATAAAGAACAGTACACAATCAGAAGAGAGAAAGAGAGAGAGAGAAAAAGAAATATTAAGATTAGAAACGGCTAGTGCTTGGAAGGCCACATTCATGTGTGTGTAGAGAGAGATACCACAGTAAACATCAACCACTAATTAGAGGAAGCCTTAGCTAGGAGCAACAACACGCTCAAGATCACATGCCACAAAACACTTAAACACCACAGAGGACACCTCTTCAAAGAAACCAAGACATGTATACGTATGCACAACATGTACATGCATAAAAATATTTAAATATTAAAGTTGCATTGCACTTAAACCTCTTACATTGAGTTTAATAGAGGAGATTAAAGACAGATAAGATAGACATTTTAAAAGCAAGGGAAGAGAGAGAGAGAGATTATAAAAATAGCGAGTGATTTTAGACCCAATTACGTAGAGTCAAATTTCACTTTAAAGTACAAGGGGGAAAAGATATCTTTAAAGACATATTTATGATTGTGTTGGAAGATCATTCTTAATAATGGATTAAACCGAGAGATATAGATCATTAAGTGCTTGCTAAAGTGGACGTGACATGTATACATAGCAACACTTTATAGCCAGAGGGACTGGCATCCAGAGAATGCTAGACACTCTTACTAAAAATTAATAATAATATGCATTATATCAGAAAGGAATGAATCGGTACCATCTGTTCCACACACAATTGACTACATGGATGAATGTACAAAAAATATATGTACATGTACATGCATGTATATAGGCATAGACAAATATGGTATATAGGATTATGGGATCGAGGCACATGATAAGTGCATGTACATGTACAATGTATGTGACAGACAAGTCTACAATGATAACAGGTAGTCAATACATTCTAATGGTCTAATGGTTCATGAAATCATCAATACTATGTCATACATGACCTTTTATAATATTGTATGGGTCACTCTGATATATATATTATTATAACAAGAGGAGACTGAAAGTTTATAGTAGCTGAGACATGATTAACAAAAGTAAAAGTGAAGCAGTAATAAGAGATGGGGGAGATGGTCACACTCCCTAATTAAGGATATAGACAGTTAGTAAAGGTATCTCTCCTTCTCTACCTATCACCAAGAAGTACAGCATGTCCTTTTGACAGGATATCATCATTCACGCAAAACTAAACAGGATCACTCCCCAAGGCCCAATAGTGCCAATAATAATAATTAGTAATAAATAATTGGGAAGCTATACATCTTAGATGTAGATAAGGAAAGACACACACCATATAAGTAGATTCAGAGAATTACAGTTAGAGACCAGGAAGGAAATACAAGGGAAGGATGTGACACTAAAGTAGAAAATTGGATCACAATTAAGCCTTAGAAGAAACAAAGTTTTAATTGTCACATGAAACAGTATATCCTTAGATAGAAAAGTGAGAGACACTAAAATGACACATGAAATGCATTAATTAACACAAACACATTAACAGCTAGAAAAATATGGAAGGCATGGGCCCAAGTAAGGCATAAGGTTTTAAAACATGATCCTTATAGTGTGAGAGGGTGAAGCAACAATAAAGGCTTGCTTAAACTAGCATCTGACTTTAAGGAGAGAGAGAGAGGGGGGGGAGAGGGAGAGGGAGAGGGAGAGAGAGAGGGAGAAAGAGAGAGGGGGGGGGAGAGGAAGGGAGAAAGAGAGAGAGGGGGGAGAGAGAGAGAGAGAGAGAAGAGAGAGAGAGAGAGGAGTGACAAAATTAAAATATCTTGGCCTAGTAAGGCTTGATATTATAAAAGTCTAATTACAAGTAATGCAATATATTCCCACCCTCACTTCTTTCTCAAGTCACCCTCTACCTCTCTCTATACCGGCAACTTTTCTCTACCTTCACAAATACTAATTAGTATACGTCATAAAGGCAAGTTTATCTGCTTCTTGTACAAGGGAATGTGGAGTTGTGTATCTGAGGAAAGAAGTACATGGCTAGTTCCGCTAAGGAATTAACAGTGGCAGTGAGGAGAGGCCCTTCCTTACTCCCCCTGGCATTCCAGTATCATAATGAGAATTAACAATGGGAGGACATAAAGGAAATACAAGTATACATAAACATTATTATGGTAGATATGTACATAGCTGTTTATATACCTTATAACTGCTTATATTAGTCGTAATAAAAATAAAATGTTACAACTAAGAGATACACTCACAAACAAAACGTAATAGTCACTAGGTGTAAATCAGCATTGAAAATCAAAATTGAATTAAGCATAAAATTGACATTGCCTGCCTCCATATGGCATCTAAATTATTTTATACTATAGCTAGTATAGTCAATGAAGCATGATTATTAGACTATAGTACATACCATCATCGTATATTGGATAGTATTTCAATATTAAGCTAAGAATTTGAAAGACTTGTACACAAGCATGCATCATACACAGTATCAGACAAACTGCTGCCAAGGATGAACAAACAAGTAAAGATATAAACAGAAACAAAGGGGAAAGATAATGATATAATGACATGAAAACAAGCACATAACCAAGAGCTTAATAGATTTACTTATTTTCATAAGCCTACAAGTACCATGAAACAAACAAACACATGCTAATCACTCAATACAACAATTTATTCATAAACAAACAGACAGTGCTGTTACTCAATGCAACAAGAGTATCATATACAACTATTTCAACATCAAGAGCTTCCTTGTGGCAGAGAGAGAGAGAGAGAAATAAAAATAACAAATGTGTGGAGGCCACAACACCACAAGGGGCTGATTAAAGAGACTGGTTTACTAAAACAGATCGACCACAGTTTACACAGGGGCTGGGATTTGAAAACCATTATGGCCCTCGACTGGGAAGAGAATAATAAACATAGGAACAAAGGAGGGAAGTGATTTTCATTCAAAAAGAAGAGGTCATGTTTTATAATGCTACATGCTCTACAGAAGAAGTTTAAAAAAGCATGCACTACAAGGACAGCAAATATACAGGAGGTTGTCCTGTCTTACATTTCTCTCTCCTTCTCTCTTACCTTCCAGTAGCTATACCTGTACATGACAGTACTCTTAGAATGGGACAGAGTCATAGAAGATATGATAAATAGCAACAAGAAGGCTGGGAAAGGGGACCAGATAGATAGACTGTGCTCTGTATAATACTGATACTAAAACTGTGGGTGACTGGAATTTTATAGCATGAGGGAGTGAGTGACTCTGACACAGACAATTGACTTGGTGGTATTAACAGAAATTTGTAGTATTTTATCATTTTTGTCATTATTATTATTATTACAGGAATTGAATTCTTTGGCAACTTAATGAGCCAAAAAAAACATAGAAACACAACACAAATAGCCACTTTCTTAGAAGAGAAGGCCACATACAAGATGATGATTGAGAGAGTGTAGGATAATAACTCAAAAAAAAACATACACAAACCTCAGAAAATGTCAAAGACAAAGGAAGTAGTGTGGAGCTGTAGTTATTATAACAGAGAAGACTTGTTCTGTGAAAGGGAAAAGGCAGCCTGGGCGCTTAGTTCTGTTCCTACTTCTCTCCTGAAACCAAACAGAGTTTGGAGGAGAGGCAGCGCATATTATAAGGATGAGTTGTGGTATGCATACACACAACTACTGTAATAGGAGGAGGGAGGTGGGGGGAACGTGGCTTCGCGTCATTGCATACATTTTATCTTGTAGCAGAGCTTGTAGACAAAACAAGAGTACATAAACAACACCTCTCGCTCTCTCTTTGCTTACATCTTCTTCTTCTTCTTCTTCTTCTGAGGAGTCTTCCTCCTCGTAGACTATCTTCGGTGGTGCACGCTGGTCGCCGAATTGACCAGGGATTCCAGGAGATCCGGACATGGTGGCAAGGATTTTTGGAGGATTTTCCGAGAGGAGAAAACAATAGGAATGCTTTTACAAGGACTCTCGCTCTCTGAACTCTCTCCTTCAGCACTGGCTGACCTCTCTAATAATCATCTAACGCCTCAGGGCGAGGCCTCGGTCCCATTATGGGAGGCGCCATTTTATACTGCGCACGTGAGCTTTGAATCTGCGGAGGAGCTAGTTTTATTAATAGCTAGACTAGTTTTATTAATAATCTCTGTCACGTGACTTAACGCGCCAATAATGGCGGCAAGTGTGAAAGGAGGTGAAGAGAAGAGAGTCTACAAGTGGAGAGGAAATGAAGACATTAGGGACGGAGCAAAGCATTATAAGTATGATACACTTAAAAATATTAGGGGATTGTAAAATATTTCTAATTATAAATAGAATGTGGGCATTATGGGTGGCGATTTCCTCATATTTTTGGTGTTAAAATTTTAAAATGACGTGTACATTTATTACCATATAACTGTTTTTTTTGAGGGAATTGTATTCAATGAAATCTGCAAAAATTGTAACCAAATATTTTACACAACAAAATTGTTACCTGCTCCCCCTCTCTCTCTCTCTCTTTCTCCCACTCTCTCTTTCATCCCCATAATTCTCTCCTCCAGCTCACTAAGTATTAACGATACTACATACTCCATTGGTGATTGTGTGTACGTTCATTCTGGCAAAGATAAAAACTCCATCTGTCAAATAATCAGTTTATTTGAGAACCTTTACACTAGCGATAAAGAAATGACTGTCCGATGGTTTATCAGGGAAAATGAATTACCCGTGTACTTAAAACCCTACCAAGACAAGGTTCCTAATTTAGCAAAGGGAGAAGTTATTTTCGTAGATAAAACGGCACTTTTGTCAGTCGAGTGCATAATTAGAAAGGCCGAGGTGGTGTCGAGTAGAAGTGGTAATCGAGAAGCTGTTTTTTGTCGGTTGGCTGTATCAACTGCTAATGGGTTCAAGATTGAGTCTTTTAAACTCGTCAAACCGGTTTTTAAATTCGTTTCGGGATCTCGCACGACAAGTTCATGCTTATCCTCTTCCACCGGGAGGATTTCGTCTCGTAAATCACTAAGGCCAAGAGTTTCCACTGCTCCCATGATACAAAGAGATAGAAAGTTTAACACTCCAAATAAGACTAGGACTGGTACTAACAGTACCAATTTAAGACCAAGTGATTTAAAACGAAAGGCCTGGACGTCTCCAAGACAACCGAGCCTATCGCTAAGAAACAGAAAAGAAGGTGATAAAGAAAGACGTGTTCTGTTTCATGACACAGCAGTGTCTTCTCTTGAAAGCACCAAGAGGACCTCCGAATTAAAGAATCGTAAACGAGTACTGAGCCCAATACAAGAGGAAGGAGCAGGAGACAAAAGTGATTCTTTTAAAAGTCGTCGTAGGAAACTCGATATGTCAGATATTCATACAATGCTTGATGATGATGATGATGATGATGATGATGATGATGATGATGATGATGATGATGATGATGATGATAGTTATAAAGAGAATGTATTTGATGATGATGATATGGAGGAATGTGACGAGGAAGAGAATGAAGAGAGTAAGCTTAGTCTTGAAGATATAGAGCTAGTAAATGATGATGGTTTTGAAAATCCATTACCTAAAAGGAAGCGTGGACGCCCACCAAAAGCAATAAAAACACCTTCTGATCATTTAAGTGAAATAGGCACACCCTTATCAAGAAAGCGTGGCCGTCCTCGTAAAAAAGTAGCCACACCCTCTTTAGATTCTTCTAAGAATATTGTCACGCCCTCATCAAGAAAACGGGGCCGTCCTCGTAAAGAAGTAGCCACACCCTCTTTAGATTCTTCTAAGAATATTGTCACGCCCTCATCAAGAAAACGTGGCCGACCTCGTAAAGAAGAAGCCACACCCTCTTTAGATTCTTCTAAGAATATTGTCATGCCCTCATCAAGAAAACGTGGTCGACCTCGTAAAGAAGAAGCCACACCCTCTTTAGATTCTTCTAAGAATATTGTCACGCCTTTGTCAAGAAAACGTGGCCAACCTCATAAAGAAGAAGCCACACCCTCTTTAGATTCTTCCAAGAATATTGCCACACCCTCGGCAAGAAAACGTGGCCGACCTCTGAAAGTATTGAGCACTCCTTCGTCAAGCAGTAAAGCTGTGACCACTCCCATTTCTGCTTGTCGACCACCACCTGTTAAATGCATGACCACGCCATCTAAGATGAGAAGAGATGGTGGGGTTGTTATTCCAGTCAGACCGGGTTCAGCTGTCAAAGGAAGAAAGAAACCATTTGAAATGGCTCGAGTCAGGTACCTGTACATAATGAATTTGTATTCACTTATATACATGTACATGTATATTCCTCCACTAGATTACATACCTCGTCAGTCCCTGATAGTATCACGTGTAGAGAGAGGGAATTCACTAGTATTTGTACTTTTATTGAGAGCAAGTTAATACAGAGAAATGGAGGGTAAACAGCTTACTATAACCACCCACACCTCATTCACACATTATTATTATTATTATTATTATTAATACAGTATAGCCTCTTTATTAAGGACACCATTGGGCTCGCACTACCTGTCCTTAATACAGAGGTGTCCTCATTTCAGAGATACTTTTGTATAGGCTTGTACCAATTGGGACATCACAATTATGTCCTCATTATAAAGGTGCCAGTATCCTTATTATAGAGGCTACATTGTATTACATTACATAACATTACAAATTATTACTCCAATCCTATTGCAGGTGTATCTATATATCTGGAGTCCCCGGGACCGGAAAGACAGCCACAGTGTATGAGGTATCACGGCATCTGATTAAGAAGTCATCTGAGGACAAGAAGTTGCCTCATTTTAAGTTCATTGAGATCAATGGGCTCAAACTGACTGAGCCCAAACAAGCTTATGTGTCCATTTTAAAGGTTTGTATGTACTGTAGTTAATTGACTCGTAATAGCTAATTTCTATGAGTTTTTAAAGTTGCTCCAAAATTGGGTCAAAGTCCCTGTACTATAGTACAGGGTCTCTGGTCAAATTTTGGCCAAATTTGAAAAGGAGAGAATTCTTCATTTTTATATTTTTTCCTGATACATATACATGTTTTTATGTTGTGTTTCAAGTTTGAGTTGATTCCAATCAAAATTGGACTTTTTACGAATTTTTTAAGTTGCTCAAAAATTGGCTGTAGTTCAGGGACTTTGGCTGAATTTTGCCAAAAAATGGCTAGGAAAGAATTCTTCATTTTTTAGTTTTTCTGATGCATATACATGTACATGTACATGTTCTGTAGAATCTATTCTGATAGAAATTAGACATTTTTATTGAAAGTATTGTGTTTTAATTCTTATAGCAACTAACAGGGGAGAAGACTTCTGCTAGTAAAGCTGCTGATGCCCTTGATACGTATTTTAATGCTACTAACAAGCAAAGGCCACCAATTGTACTGCTAGCAGATGAAGTAAGAGTAATTGAATAAAATGTACATGTACATTTATTTTGTTTAATCTAGCTGGATATGTTGTGGAATAAAAAGCAATCAGTTTTATATAACTTATTTGAGTGGCCCACACGCCCAAAATCGAGGCTGGTAGTGCTGGCTGTTGCCAATACTATGGATCTGCCAGAGAGAGTCATGTCTAGCAGAGTATCAAGTAGACTGGTGAGTTACTTAATTTACACATGTATATGTACTACATGTACTTGCAGTTTTATTGTTCATAAATCTCTTTTTCATTTTGGCATGGGTAATTTTGGCGAATTTTAATTTCCATTCAACAAAATAAAATCCATCATTCTGAAAGACACATGCCAGCCAATTTTTTTTAATTGTCAAATCCCCCCCAACCCCCCCCCCCAAAAAAATTACCTGATATATATGATATTCCTTTCTATCTTTTACTTTATTTTTTATTCTCACTCACACTTTTCCTTATACACATTGACCTGATTGTTAGGGTCTCACAAGGCTAACATTCAATCCATACACTTTCAATGACCTCCAGCAGATTGTCACTAACAGGATGGTTGGTCTTAAAGTCTTTGAACCTGATGCTGTCCTACTTGCTGCAAGGAAAGTTGCTGCAGTTACTGGAGATGCACGCAGGGCCCTTGATATCTGTCGGAGAGCAACAGAGATAGCAGAGGAAGAAGGAAAGAGACTTGTAGGTATGATGGAGGTTAGCAGTGCCATACAAGAGCTGTTCTCCTCACCAATGATAATGGCAGTGAAGTAAGATCGAGAGTTAAGCCCAGCATACACTATGCAACATTTGTGGCAAACAACTTGTTGCATAGAACACAGTTTATACAGGAGTCAATGGAGCTTGCAACATGTTGCATGAAATAGAACTGTTCCCTATATTTCATGGAACATGTTGCAAGATCCAGTGACTCATGTATAAACTGTATTGCATGCAACAAGTTGCAACATTTTGTTTGCTACAGATGTTGCATAGTGTATGTTGGGCTTAATATATATTTGATGTTCTTTCACTCTCCAGGTATGCCTCATTCAATCAGAGGTTCTTTCTGCAGGCTCTCCTAGCTGAGTTTAGATCAACTGGACTAGAGGAAACAACACTGAAGCAAGTAAGCAAAAGTAGTGCATGCATGCTATAAATTTATCCACTAAATGTAGGATTGTCTCTCTTTGAATTATGTTGTTTTGTCTTGCTTTTAGGCTATTTCTAGAATGAACAGTTTGCTCACCTACCAAGGTATGTGCATGTGCATGAACCACTTCCTTATATATTATTCCTTCTTTTACTCTCCATTATACTGTCCTTCCTAATTCTATATATCTACAGAGGATCAACCTTTGTCCTATCCAGAGATCCTCTCTGTAGCGACGACACTTGGGTCCATGAGAGTTATACTTTTTGAATCGAGTAAAAGTGGTCTTTATAGAAAAATAAGACTAAATATGTCACAGGATGACGTAGAATTTGGTTTAAAAAATGCACTACCATTGACATATTAAAAATATTAATTTATACTATAGGCACTCCTTCCATATCATTATATACATATGAAGTGATATTTCTGATAATAATAAATTTTAGTGATTAGCAGAAAATTAATAAATATATATAGTCAATCATTTAAAATTACAAAAGGAATATTCAGTAGTTATTAAGTCTATATTTGTAAAGACTTTACTCTTCTTTCATATTTCATATGCCTCTACTAGCATGCTAACTAACGTATCAGCTCTTACATTATTTTCTTCTCTTAGTATGTTTAAGAAATCTCCAAAGACTGCTCCTTTGAATTGTATAGCCACGGCAACAAGTTCAAGCAATTTATTCATCCTCTTATCTGTGGATTCTCCTGTACTTGTGTCTGTTATGTCATCTCTTTCTTGTCTGTTAATAATTTGCCTTGATAATGCTTTAATAGCAAAAGTTGTAAGGCTGATTTGTGATCTTATTATTAGTGGAATGTGTTTTCTCATCACTTCAGCCGCTATGTTAAAAAAAATGATTACAGGCTACAAATCTAAGCATTATACCTTTGTGAGGCTCAAAGTCTTTCTCACGCAGGCTAGCTTCTGTAATTGAGTGACGTGTACCTGCATATGCATGAATCATGAAAATATTACAAAACATTGACTAACTAGATCTACTAGTTGATGAATTAGAAGATGGAGGTGATCTGTTGATATAAATAATCATTTCAGGATTTATTCCTGTTAATTTAATTGGAAAATGAAGTGGGTCTTGAGCAACGGGTTTAGCATACACTGACATGCTGAAACTAGAGTATAAAGGATCAAATTTGTCCACTAATGACTGGTGAAGCTGGATATAAATCATCAAAATAAAAGAAAAAAAGTTTTGAGAAGACATACCTCCATTGGATCTTTTCGAGGGTGTACACTCCATCCTACAGGCTGCTGTTGGAAATCTAGCTGCAACTGAAGAATACCCTCTGGCTGCTTAAATTTAAATGCATCAATGTCATCTTGTTCAGCATGTGGAAAATTATCCCTTAAGTACTGCCAAGAGTAGATAATTATTTGCTAATGGCAATCAAATTTTATACCTTTCTTAAAACCTCTAAGTCCCTCACAACAGTGTATTTAGTTGTCCAAGTGGCAACATCTCTTTGTAGATGATACAACATTCCAGTGTATAATACTTCACCAGGAAGAATAGCTATATATATACATAATGAATAAACCATTTGTGTATAATAACATGGAATTCAACACCACCTGATATGTCCTCAGAGCTATCATGATGTGTAGTAACTGAATAAGAAATATATTGTTTATTTATGCATGGCATTTTTTAAATCAACACATACATGTACTTCCATTCTGTAAAGGAGAGTGCGGAGAAGTGCCCGCAGGCTGTTTGCAAAGTAACTCTGTACTATCTGATACATGACCACTAGCTTTAGGAGGATCATCGTCATTATCTGATCCTATTAAAACAATCACTCAATATACTATGACTTCTTATCACTGTACCTGTTGGTGTACCATACTCACTGTCAGTATCTGATGGAGTGGATTCTCCATTGCTATTATTGCCGTTACTCATTTCAGCTACAATACCATAAAGACTGAACTGAATGCGTTCTATGGAGCCATATCTCTCCTGCACATGAAATGATCCACCTTTAACTTTAGTAAAATGGTATGGAGATCTTGATGTCGATGA